TTTCATACTGTCGCTGTTGAGAAACTTGACCAACGTTACCTGACCGGAATGAGTCTGTGCGCTCTATAAGACCTCAGCAAGCGCGCGTTGCATATTTCCTGGCGCTTTGACGGCAAGTCACTAACAACGACGTCTGGTAGTGGGATGCATTCTTGAGGACACTCAGACCCATATCATCCGAGCCTGTGAATGGTGCGTGTCCATTTACAATATAGTCAAAGTTGGAGTAGCTAATTTGTAGCCAATAGCAGGTTTCCTGATGACCGCTACCTGACGTTCGTGACACCACTATCAATTGGAAGAAATAAGGCAGTTGTACAAAGTTATCTCACGTTTCGAAGACCACGAGAGCGAAGTCAAGAGCGTGGCATGAACCTCTCAGGCTCCTATCTGGCCACATGCAGTCGCGACAAGAGCGTCTGGATATGAGGAGCGGATGCTGATACCGACTTTGAGTGCATTTCGGTACTACACGCACATATGCAGGACGTCAAGCTCGTGGCCTGGCACTCGAAGGTGGACCCCTTTGTCTCGGTCAGACACTTTCTGCTTTGGACGAAGAATGATGATGATTGGTACTACAAGGAGACACTGACGGGCCACACGGCGACGGTGTGGGGCGTTGCGCTGAGTCCACATGGCACTGAGATGGCATCGGTATCTGATGACACGGACGTGATCATCTGACAGTACGGCTCCAATAGCAAGGAGGTGAACGAGGACGGGAGATGCGTCACTAGGTTCAGTTTATTTTTATGAGTCTAGCTAAAACCCCTTTTCCTCGTAACTTCAAAAAATTGAAGCACAAGTTCGCGCTATCAAACTGCCACGAACGTACCATCTTCAGCGTGGACTGTTCCAAAAAGGGCGTCTATTTGGTGACGGAGGCGGCATACAATGCCATCCGTGTTTTTCGAGGTCAACCGACCGATACGCCTTCCTCTTTGGACCTGGAAATCTATTAGAAAGAAGCTCACGCGAGAAAGACCCCAGGTACTGGAGGATACAGGAAAGAAGACATTTCTACAGGATATGGCCATTTGCATCGTGCTTATTTCCTGTAACGTCATGTTGGTGGACACTTGTTTTCAGTTGGAAATGTGATAAGCTTTTCCTTGCTGGGGCTGCACAATAATATATAAAATTTGATTAAGTTTGATGCCCCCTGTTTCTGTTTTCCTTCAAGGTCCTCGCTCAAGACACTACACCTGTTCAATCATACACATGTACTACACTTGTTTCTTTTCCTTGTTCTTCTTGAGTTTTCTCTTGCTCTTGCCTTGATAGCTTCGGACAGTATGGCCGAACAGGGGGTACTAATCGAAGATGGAACGGCCATTGCATCACTCGCAGTGACATTGTCGTCTTTAGCGATAGGAACGGACACGGCAAATCGCACAAAGCCTCTCTTCGTTTTTTATCCGTGCCCCTATGCGTCCAAAACGCGTCGTAGCGGCGCTCCTTAGCCTCCGAGGACGGAGCCACTGCCTCTGTAGCCGTAACTGTAGACGTAGGCGTAACCGATTAAGGCGTCCCGAGGTGCGCGGCAATCTTCCTTTTGCAAATAGCAGTCGCCCAGCGACCTTCAGCGCTAAGCCGCTCCTCTTCACTGCAAAGTAGCCGTTTTCGACATACTATGCCAAACACATTGATGGAATCTTTCTGCGCAAGCTTGTGGACCCATGTGGAACAGTGGTTTTGCTCACCAGCCGCAACGGCCACCAGCGCTCGCGTTTGGAGGTCTCTTGGCGTTGTGGGCAATACAGCCTTCCTTTAAAATGCTTTGGAATGAGCCAACTCCCATAATGAACCAATCCTTCGGCTGGTGTGGGCCTTAGTAACGGTGGAGGCGGCGGCGTTACCGACGCGTTGTTCGACATCGTGACAAGCCGACAATTTTCCGTAGCTTTAGACGTAGGCGTAACCGACGCATGCGTCCGGAGGTGCGCGTCAATCTTCATTTTGCTTTGAAATGAGCCAAGTCCCATAAGGAACCAATCCTTCGGCGGGTGTGGGCCTTAGTAACGGTGGAGGAGGCGGCGTTACCGACGAGTTGTCCGACATCGTGACAAGATGGCAATTGGCTGCATTTCTCCCCGACCTCGTTTAAACCTTCCTGTAAAATACACTGCCTAATACCTGGAATAACAGCTATTTAAAAAATTCCCAGACCCCCAGTGCCGAGACGACTACAAAAACTGCAGTAGCTTCCCGTGTCCATCCACGTCGACTCGGTCATCAGTATCCTACCGATGCCGTCGATCGTGTTAGTGCTGTGAGGTGTGCAGGTGCACGGCCTCAAGGGTGTCGACTACTTCAACAAGGTCGCCAAAGTCAACACTACGGAGACCCGCGAGTACATCGACCTCGCTAACCAGACCGACAACGTCTACAGCAACGCCCCCAACAAGCTGAGCGCCATCATCAAGGGCGTCAACGCCATGGACCGCACGGTTACAATTGAATAGGGCGACTTCATCAGCAGCTCGTCCATCCAGAAGAGCAACATTGAGATGGAGACCGACGCCGTCGCGTGGAATTCGTGGGCTGAACGTGCCAAGGCCTTGGAGGACTTCAGTGACGAGGAGTACAAAAGCAGAAGCACCGTCGAGCCTGGCCGCGTGTCTGTCAAGCAGGTTCTACCTGCCGTCCAGACGTACACGCTGCAGGAGAATATCTCGGTCACAATTTTGTTAGCGGATGCCGATGTAAATCCATGATGTAGATGTGTTAAAAATTTTGATGGAGAAGAGCTTGTGAAAGGCTGGTGGTCGACTCACTACTACCCAACAAAACGCGACCCAATAATGCACTAAAACCAATTTTGGTTGTGCCTTTTCAGCTCAATAACGGAGCTCTACATGGTCATTTCACATAAAAACGAGGTCAAGGATAAAGGCACCAAATAAGAGCTCGTTTAGCTTTATTACCGGTATTAAGGCACTAAACAACCTTTATACCGGTACTAGTAGGACCAAAGGCATCAAACAATGACCCTTTTATGGTCAACTTTGCACTGTCCAAATATATGTTAAGGATGGATATCACGTAGACCAAATCCTACAGCATGATTATCACCAATTAGCGCCATGTTATGATACAGGGAGTACCGAACACGACCCTGACACCAGGGTGGGGTTTCAATTACTTCGCTGAGCCCAGCGAAGTCATGCCATGCCCGATCCAACTCACTATATGAGTAAGAGCTTCTACATATTGCTTACTGGACTCAGCTCCCTTTTCCCGTAGTATTAATCCAGTCTAGAACGCAAATCTTCCTAGCGTTGCATTTGGTCGTCGTAAATTTTGAGATTGTAGACGCGTATTTTTAAATGTGCCTTGAAGAACGATTTTTTAATTTGTAGACCGGATTAATATTTAAACCGGGTCTCTATTTGATACAGGCTTTAATACTTTTGAGGCCCATTCCCAACCGGGTCACATGCACGCATGCGTCCAAATGCACGACGTTGATTGGTTTGTGGGTTAGGTGGTCACAGGCGGCCAAGTGCATAAATAGACGTCCGTGCGGCAACTTCTCCACATGTGAAAAAATGTCCGCACGGGCACGAATAGGGTCACATGAGGAAAACACCAATCATAGTACAGCCTAGGTCGACTAGAAGAAACGATCTTCAATATAGGCTTGGCTGATGCCCTTATGCCACTTCCCAATTCCGCAAAGAATTCAACCATCCTCAGTTATCAATGCTTGGCCCTCCTCCTACTCCCATCTTATAGCAGCAGCAGCCACGTTCATCTAGTGAAACTGAATTTTGCACGGTCATTTTACCAACTGTGATCTTAGTGATCGCTTCGGCGAAGGGAAGTGGCAGGCGTATGCGTGTCGTTCGTGAGCGTATCAAATGGGCTACTCATGCCGAACGTTTACTTCTTGAAGGAGAGTTTAAACAGTATTACCGAATGAGCTTCGTCGGTTTTGAGCGCTTGTTGACACTAATTGGTCATCAATTGGCGGTTGACCCGTTGCAGTCTGCGCGACGAGCTCTAGGCGAGCCTCCTGTGTCTCCAGCGGGCTTTCTGCAGACGTGCATGTCGTGGTTAGCAGGCGGGAGCTACCAGCATATTCGTGTGATAACGGGTACAAGTCGATCCGGGTTTTATCGAATATTTCATGCAGTTTTAAGGGCAATCAATGAGTGTCAATGTCTGTCGCTTGAATTCCCACTCACTGACGAGGCAATGGAGGCCAATGCTGCTGGATTTTGCGCTTTGAGTAGAGTCCATGCGATCCCTGGTTGTATTGGAGCAATAGACGGCTGGCTTTGCCCAATTAGAGTTCCAAGAAATGAAGAATGTGGCCGAGTCACAGCATTTTTTTCTGGCCACTATCAACGATACGGTTTAAATGTGCAAGCCTGTGCAGACTATAGGTGTCGATTTACTGCCGTGGCCTGCCGCGCTCCTGGAGGGCGGAATGACTCTGTGGCATTCTTACAATGGGCACTCAGTCGCAGACTTATAAGAAATTCGCGGGCCCTACTTCGTAATAGGCGACAATGCTTATCCGCAAACAAGAGTTGTGTTAACACCGCTTAATCAGACACAGTTGAAAGGAAGACCAGATCGTGACAGGTTGGCCTTTGGTCTTTTGGTTAATAAGTGCCGGATTTTCAAGAGACCATTGTTAGTACGCCTTGGAAACACATCTCATGTAATTCATGCGTGTATGCGGTTACACAACTTCTGTATCGAGCAACACGGGATTGAACACCCTGACACTGTTAAACATATCATAAAAGCAATGCGGCGCGAAGTTCGGACATGGAATGGAAGCAAAGATCTATCATATCAAAATACCCAATATGAGACTGAAGGTGGACAAGTTGTCGAGCTTTTGGATGAGCCGACACGCAATTTTGTTGTTGATCATGTTGCCAGCAAAGATTTAAATCGTCCTCAACACAATCAAGACCGGCACAGACGTGAAGCCGTCGTTAAATAACGGCGTGTTAATGGTGTTTTCCCTCCCAGTTTCCCTAGTCGTATGAGGGCAGTTTGTTAATCAAGGATTGTCGTTCGTGTAAAAGAACTTCCTGGTCTTCTTTCAGCCTTTCAATCGATGCGCCTTTAGCAGCAGACAGATCTCTGTCGATGTCGGACAGTTGCCGACGAATATCGCTTAGCATGGAAAGAAAGCTTCCCTTCTCCTGCATTTTCATGGTTGTCGAAGAGGCGACACGCTCAACCTCCAGGCGCCGGTCATTAACGTAGGCAGCAAATGATGTAGCCAAACTTTCGAGCCGCTGGGCATCTTTTCTCTTTGAGTTGCTGCCGGTCTGTGAGTCCAGGATAATCTACGATACAATGCTATCGTCAAGGGAGTCAAACTGATCTTTCTCAAGCATGCCGCTTTGCACGAAATTGTTCAACTCGGGTTTCACCTTACTGGTCCGTGGGACATTGTTAGACATTGTCGAAAAGGCTAACGAGCATTGGTCATACATAATGCGAAACTTACATCGAGCCAATACCGCAAGTAGAGAACGAAACCACGCCCATCAACAAAACGGGGAAAATCTTTCTCATGCTGTCCAGATTGAGTGAGCTTCTTCTTGGAGATGATGTAGTATCGGTTAACTTCTTTCCATTTCTCATACAGTTTCTTTGCCGAGTGTTTCTTCACAGCAGAAGGCTTGACACCTACAAAGTACTCGTGCGTGAAAATGACCGTGTTAACTGGGTGGTCCTCATCGTACGTTGCCGCGTAAGCTGCCCGAACGTCTTGCTAGAAACAGCTTTTGTCGTTAACAGACCTAGAATCCAGAACGGCGCGAGGAGGTTTGTCGCCTGCAGCAATGTTCAACGTATAAACGCCATATAAATGAATGACTAATAGTCTACAACCAACAGGAGCACTGATGTATTACCTGACTGATTGAACCGGGTAGCAAATTCATCTGAAAAAAGGATGTTAAGTAAACGGTACCAACAGTGTTTCGACCAAGTGTTGGTCGCAGCGGCGTTCTCTTTTGATTTTCCGGTCATAAGACCGCCATAGACGAGTTTGGCTACGTCATGGCGTCTCAAGATGGCATGTTTTTTGGCTGTCGACTTTACCTTTAATCCGCGTCGCGTGCACTCTTTTCGAATCTCGTCAGCTTTCATTGTATCATAGCGATCTTCTGGTCTTGTAGAGGCTACTTCGGCTGAGGGTGTTGCTATCGGTGTCGTATCGCTCTCGTCTGAACTATCCAAATCAAAGAGACGCGCTGTAAACGAAGCCGCCGGCAGGGCTGGTGGTACGCTTGAAGATTGAAGTCCTTCTTCACCCGCGACGGGTTCAGAAAGAAGCCCTTGCAATACCAGAGGGGTCGAGCGCTGCTGCAGAACCGGTGTTGTGGCCATTTGCTGCAGCGTAAGATGTCCTTGTATTTGCTGAGAGGCCGAGTGATGCTGCAGCGTCGATGGTGGAGTCATTTGATGCGGCGCAAGACGCCCTTGCATTTGCTGCACAGCGGACACAGAAGAATTCAGGCTGGTGGCGACGGTTGTGGAGCGCTCGAGCTGAGCTTGCGCAATACCGGGTCGACTTTGATTTAAAGGCGTGTATTCAAATGATTCCATCTTGTCCTTACCTACACAGCCAACCATTAGTTGTCACAAAGCACCCCTGACGTCATGTAGGTCAAGCAAGCCAACGTACAAGTGAATACACCGTGGGTGTTCGCTTTGTTAGTTTCTGTGGTTTCTGGAAATAAGCGGCTCTGTTGAAGCTATCCGTGTTCCACCAATCAGGTTGCATCGCATGTTAGGCGTTAAAATGTGGCCGCATTGGGGTTCCCAACCGACTCGGCTGCATGTGACCATTTCGGTACAAAGCTGTGCAATGGCCTGCGTGCATGTGAGCCGGTTGGGAATGGGCCTGAGCACAAGTCAATTTTAGCTCCTGGCTTCTAAAAATGACGAGGCTTTTATACGGTAAAATCTGCTATTCTGTTTTATCAACCAATGAAAACTTCCTGTTCGGCGCATCTGACTCTTTGTATGTTGAAATGCAATTTTGATTCGCAGCATAGTGAACCCAAGTGCGCGCGGCCTTGTCCGCACTCACTCGAGCACTCTCCAGCCATTAACATGGCGGCGTTGCCCGAGGGGATGCAGCTGGTGAGTGCGCTGGATGACGCCGAGCTCAAGGCACTCTCGCCTATGAGTGGCGACGAAGCGTCAGCTTCTGAGCACGTGCGACGTGCGCTGCTGCTTCCGCTCGAAGGAGACGACGCACTGGACGTGGACATGGACATCGACGTCGACGTCTTCCGGCCGAGCGCAATGCTAGACGCGCAGCTTTCCGATGCATTTGGTGAATCAGGTGAGCTCTACTTCGGCTCCAGCTTTCAACCTGGTAAGTTAAGGAGTGTATAATAAATTAAAAAAAAAACATTTTTATTTAAACTAGATTTACTGAGCAGATCTGGGCAGCGCAGAGGAGGATATCGAGCAGATGCTGCTAAGTGGCTCAGAAGAGTCTCTTCATAGTCATCACCAGCATGAAACAGCACCTGGACAGGGCTGTCAGTGTCGAAATTTCGCTATTAGGGCCAGTCGCGTACAGGCACAACACGAGCGCGTCGCAGCGGCCTCAATGGCCCCAAAAGATCAGAAAAGAGTGCTGCGTCACACTTTTGGGTCCGGGAAAAGACTACAAGGCTTTGGGTTCGGGGCAGGAGCAGTGGTGGATCACTCTCAGCAACAGGATATCGAAATGTCCGACGGACAGTCCACGCAAGTTGATTTAACGGTGAAACCAGAGGTTTCAGCAGCGGAGTATGCGGCTACACTGGCAGAAATGACACAACTATTTCCAGATCCGATTCTGGCTAAGCAGGAGGCGATTCTATCTACACCAGAGCGCGTGGTGCGGTCGCTGGAGGAAGATCCGATATATAGCAGCCCATTGCAGCGTAGTCAGTCGCTGTCTGCTGTGTCCAGTCCACTAAGCACAACTAGTTTCGTGTCATTGGAAAGTATGATGGCCACGCCATTATCGACGACGTCACGGTCGTCTACACACTCTGAGAAGCCGGTGATGATGCGCTCATTGTCACCGGCCGATGAGCTGGAGAAGATGGCAACAAGCGGCTCCAAAACGTCAATGCCAAAGATGAATATGCTCAGGGGGAACTTCCAGGTCTCCCCGGGACATGATACGGTGCCGTTGGTGAAACCCACTGCGGTTCTGCCCCCGCCGTATCTACGGGGAGCTCTGGCTTCCCCTGAGAAGCGTCGCGCACACTCGAAGACTTTTAATTCGTTCGCACAGTCATTATCATTTTCATTCTCGAACGAAGCATCGGCCGACAGGTGAATGGGCAACCAAGAGATGAACACTATCAGCAACAGACGGACTTTACGGGACAAAAAATCTCGAGAAAAAAAAACACAAACGCGGCAACTCCGCATTCAGTATAAGTAGGAAAAAAGCAGCAAAAAGGTGCGAAAAACCCATAGGCAATTATTGAGTTGTATTTTTGCGGCCTATTTCAGACTCAAAACGGTCGCTAAGTTTAGGTTTTAGACGTTGCTTTAACGCCAGGAGCACTTCAACTTCGAGTATGAATGCATCTACTCGTGTTGCAGGCACCGCTGCCATCTTCCTTCGGCCACTACGGTACATGTTTGATGTCGAGACCGACGTAGAAGTAGTGACAGAAGAAGAATCGACAGTGAGTTTACCGTTTGATGCCGTGCGTGTACATTTGCGAGCAGCAACTCGACCGCCGTTAATGGAACGCGACGAACTGCTGAATGGGTTTCTGCGAGCAGAGACCGTAATTCACACTACAATTAGTCCGTCGAATGGCTCAAGATACGCTGACACCGTGGCTATGCAAGACAATAAAGACGAGTGTATAGAAGATGATTCCGACGGAGGAGACAGAACGTTGTGCTCCTTGCGAGGCACATATCTATGGCTGCTAGCTCGACTGCAGCCACTATTCGTCGACCGAAACGCACCAAAGTTCGCTTTGAACGACACCGAGACACTTCGCGTTCAGTATCAACTTTCTACATCAAGCGAGAGTTTCTGTCTCCCTGTCGATCACACAAATGTACGTGCAAGTCCCTTCGTTTGCGACCTTGAAGTTTAATGCATTTTCCGGGTTCTCTAGGTTGTCAAACTCTTAGTAACAGATGAGCTAATCCACCAAGTGGATACAAAACTACTGCAGTTCACTTTCCTATCAGTGTCTTTAAGTACAACTGACTCTCCACCAGCAACAAAAGCTGAAGCGAAGACTACAGCTCCCACAAGTATCAATTATAGTGACGCAGCGTTGGCTGCTAGTGAAGCTGCGACGGCTGAGGAGGCTCGACGGAGACAACGAGTGGAAGCTGAACTTGCAGAAGCCAAGTCTGCGGCCCAAGCGAATGATTGTGAGCGATTGGATGCTCAACTACAAGCAAAGCAAGAGGCACAGCGAGCGCAAGAACTGGAATTGGCGCGGAACGAACAGGTGCACGCACGATCGTTGTTGGAACAAGAGTTATTGACCCGCGAACAACAAAACCAAGAGCTGAAAAAAGCACGAAAACAGCTGGAGAACCAGCTACATGCTACAAATGAGAGTGCTCAACGTTTCCAGGTCAATATTAACTCCACTGACCAAGCTCTCGAGGTGTTTTTCGTGACTGTAGTTTGTGAATATGATCAATTTCTAACAGATTTGTGCTCAGTAGATGCTGAAACAACGCGCTGTTAGCGATGCCAAAGAGCGCGAAGAACTCCAGCGACGACTACGCACCCTGGAAGAGGAGAAGCTAGCTTTGCAGAATAAAAGTCGTGCGTGCACGATTCAATAGTTATGGGGTTTGACGAGGCCTTCATTAGCAATTTAAGATTATTTGGTCTTTTGTAAGCTTATAAAAAAAATACGCCCTGACTCAGCGTTCACCAAGTGTGAATTTGCAACCATGTAGCGAAATCAGTGCATACGATGGTGAAGCCATTCCTGCCCACAAGTTTGGCCCGCACAGCGAGAACTTAGCGGAGTTGACGTGCAGATTCTTGATAAAAGCTCTTCACCATGGCCTTCTTCTTGAAGGTACATGAAGACCATGTTCTCTTAAGGACATGAACAAGAACAAGGCGTGCTCATTAAGGTATAATAGGATAATACCAGCGTGATGCAAGCACGTATTAATACACTGTGCTGCTTCTTGAACACATGGGACCATCTAACGATTCGTCTGTACCTTGTCACGCCTCTCTGCTACAGCTGCAGTTCACAAGGCAATTTAACGCCAAGACCGCAATGCCATCCTTTCAGTCAATCGTACTAAACGCTGTGGCTCTCGCGACGTGTCTGTTTGCTACCGGCGCGCGTGCCGAGCTACCAACTGCCAAGCTCACACACCCTTCAGGGTCAAACGCCGAGGTGTTCCTCTTTGGCGCGCATGTCAAGTCGTTCCATGCGGCCCAAGACCCGACTCGTGACGTCATTTTCCTATCAAAACATTCCTTCCTGGACGGCGTGAACCCAATCATGGGCGGCACTCCTGTCGTGTTCCCTAACTTCGGAAGTGCCAAAGGTCTCCCTGGTCACGGCTTCGCTCGCGTGACCAACTGGACGCTGGCCGTTGTTGAAGAGGCTGCTGACGCTGCTAGCTCTACAGTCGCTACGTTTACTATGGCTGCGAGTGACAAGACCCGCAAGATGTGGCCTGTCGACTTCGAGCTTAAGTACGAGGTCAAGCTGTCGGCTAATCAACTTGAGACGGCTCTCATTGTACACAACACGCACACAGAGGAGATCGACTTCCACGCATTGCTGCACAACTACATTTACGTGGACGACGTTCGCGACGGAAAGACCAAGGTGGCCGGTCTCTCCGGTCTCAAGTACTTTGACAAGGTCGCTAAGGTGAACAAGACACAGGATGCAGAGCTCAGCATCACTGCTGAGACGGACAGTATCTACTACAACGCTCCGTCGACCTTGACGATCTCTTCTAAGGGCGTCAATGCTGCTGACCGCACAGTGGAGATCGAAAAATCCGGTTTTATCGGTAATGGAGCGGTCCAGACTAAGCAGGACACCGACGCTGTGATCTGGAACCCGTGAATCGAGCGCTCCAAGACCTTCAAGGACTTTGGCGCTGACGAGTACATCAACATGCTCGCTGTCGAGCCCGGCCGCGTCTCGCAGAAGCAGGCGCTACCCGCCGGACAAACATACACTCTCCACCAGACGATCACTGTCGCGCAGGCTTAGACTACGCTGCGTGGCAAGAATATCAAGAAAAAAAAAGGAAATTCGATGTTGAAGTTGACAAGCTTGATGCCATTATCCAATCAGATCTTTTCTTTTTACTGTTAATTCATTGATTCACTTCCGAATTAAGAAGAACTCTGCGATGTCTCCGTCCGCACTTTGTTTGTTGCTTGTGTTGCTTTCCCTGTTGATTAGCGCTGCTGGAAGCGAGATCTACAGCGTCGAGACAACGTCACTGGTTCCTGATGAGGCGGAAAGCGGCCCGTTCGCTAAACTTCACGCCAAACACGCGCGCATGCTCGTGCATGGGAACGTTTGGGGGATAATGGCAACGACGTCCGTCACCTTCGGGAGCGCAGCGTTTGCAAACGTCGTTTCTTACAGCGGTAAGACGGTGACAACATAAGTGCACACTGTAGACAATAGTTCGTTGATGGTAGTGTCTTTAGATGGCGTTGGTGTGGCCAAGGAGGACGCCACAGGAACTCTGTTCTTCTACTTGTCAGTTGATGACTTCACAGGTGAGAAACGCTATGCTACGTCGTAAGAGACTGGTTAAAAACTGCCATATCGTATGTAGCAATGGACTTGAAGGCGAATCCGAACGCGACCATAGCTTTGTCAAAGGCACAAGGGGGTGCGAAAGCTTGCCTCATGGACGCCGAAGATCCAACCTGCTGGCGGCTCTCAATGACCGGGAGAGTTGTGCCAGTAAACGAAAACCAACGGAACTATGCTGAACATGCTGTCTTCTCCAAGTACGAAATATTGGAGGGATTTTACCAAGGCTACAGATTTTGACAAAATGTGTATGCACTGTGTAGACATCCACAGATGAAACATTGGCCGAAGCATCACGACTTCAGCTTCTACGTAATGGAGATCGAGCACATTGTGTTCTTGGACTTCTACGGACCTGCGCAGCACATTCCAGTCAGTGACTACTACAAGATCAATCTGTAAGCCAGAGTAGAGTTGACAGTTTCTTACAACTGTTGTAACGTCACTCTGGAAACTGAGATACCAACCGTTGTTTAGTCTTAAATTTAGTAGACCGTCTTGCAGTCTAATCACTTGACGCAACACACGACAGCTTCAGCATTTTGTTGCAACATACGACGGATACGGGATGCCTGAGAGATTTAGCAATACATGCAGCATGCTCAAAAAAAGCGAATACTCACCACATGACGCGGTTGCTTTGGCTCGGTTGACTCCAAATGTGCTGCAAATGTGCTTTTGAAATGCACTTCCCCCGCGAGATTGAGAGTTTTGACAAAAGCGTCTTACGAAAAAAAAATGTAGATACCCCCTCGGTTCCGACGTCAGGGTCATGTCGTTGTTGTGTTTGAACGTCAGTGGTGTGTAAAGGAACGCTTCGGCGACATCTGCTCTTCAATTACGAGTGCAAGTATTTTCTTACCTGCTTTGCACATGTACATGTGCATGTATAACACTCACCCACATGGCAAGAAGTGCTGACACGACTGCTGATAATCTACCTGGCAGGTGACAATGAAGAAGCTTGTAGCTCTGCTTTTGAAGGCTCCTCTACTGTACATGAGTGTAGCCTTACTCCATCAAGCTTCACAATTATTATAAGCGGTATGTGATTGACACTTGAGTCAGGACACCAGATGA